TTCCTCTACCCTCCATCCAAACAGACTATTAAAGGGGGTTTGGTTAATTTCACCCTAAATTGAACTATCAAGAGATATTAATTGATAATCTCTTAGGGCCTGTTTGGATTTGTAGGAGGTGAAGGGAAGTTAAGGGAAACTGAGAGAAGGGAAGGGAAAGGAGTTCCATTCCCCTTGGTTACACCCTAATTTGGGGGTAACAAATTTTATACTATTAGGGGGTGAACCAAGGAGAACTAGGGTGAATTAACTTCACCTCCTTAGGGCCTGTTTGGATTTGTAGGGGGTGAAGGGAAGTTAAGGGAAACTGAGTGAAGGGAAGGGAAGGGAAGGGAAGGGAGTTCCCTTCCCCTTGGTTACACCCCAATTTGGGGGTAACAATTTTTATACTATTAGAGGGTGAACCAATGGGAACTAGGGTGAATTAACTTCACCTCCTAAGGGGGGGTTATTCGTTGGTGTAATTTGGTGTAATTTGGGATAAATTGTTCCAATGGGGTAATTTTATCCAATGGGATAATTGAATGGGATAAAGTGGGGTAAAATGGGGTAATGAGATAATTTGAGTGGGACAATTTTAGTATGACATCTTTTTATAATATTATATTTATAGCTTAATTAAATTCAAGTTTAACTTGATATAACATCAAATGATTAAATAAATTCAGTCCTCAAGAACGTGTAATATTCTAATTTCACATAATTAACTAGATAATGTTGCACTAATAAACAAAACATCCAGAATTTTCAAACAGCAACAAGCATGCATTCAACCTTCAACACTATGCACAAGAGAAACTATAATTAGGACCATAATTTAACAACACCGCTCAAATCAAAAGAGGATAAATAAATTCATACCATGTAACCTCTGAAAGCAGTCTGGATCTTAACAGCAGCAACCTCGACGTCGTGATCGGGAAGGTGATGAACATACGCGTTGAAGGTGGCAGGGTCACCGGCATCGAAATGAAGGTCGAGTTCGTCGAGGCCGATTTTGGCGGAGGAGCGGGCGCTCGAGCTCGATTCCGGCGACGGAGCTTGATTTTGGTGACGGAGCTCGAGCTCGATTTTGGCGGAGGAACGGGCGCTCGAGATCGATTCCGGCGACGGAGCTCGATTTTGGCGACGGAGGTCGAGCTCGATTTTGGCGGAGGAGCGGCGATTTGGGGGTAATTTTGTTCCGCTCTCTTGTTCCAGAAATCAAAATGGGGTAATTTTGAGGGTTGGGCTGAGTTATCTTTATATAGGTGGTGTAATTTTAGGGGAAGTGGGGTATTTGTCCCCCAATTGTCTCAACAAACCAATAACACCACAATAGATACTCCAGTTCCAATTACACCAATGAATAACACCAAACACTAGTGTTCCAAAAATTAATTTTTATATATAATTTAATTTCTATGTTTTTTGGAGATGCAATAACTATTCAAAATTTTTATTATTCAACCTTTTGATAAATAAATCGTTTTCAATTGATAAAATTTGTCAAATTATTTATCTTTCCCTGAGGGCATTGGTTTGAGGTACAAATAATATTTACTATTTTCATTTTAAAACACTATGAGCTATATTATATATATATATTTATACTATTTATATATAAAAGAATGATTAAGTAAATAGTAATAGCTGCATACTGAATCACATGCAGGGCTATTTACTATTTACTAATTGCATCTTTTAATAGTATATATAATATATATATATATATATATATATATATATAAATATATATATATTATATATAGTATATATAATATATATATATATATATATATTATATATATATATATTATATATATATATATATATATATATATATATATATATATATAGTATTATATACATATATATAATGTGTGTGTGTGTGTGTGTGTGTGTGTGTGTGTGTGTGAGGAGAATGAATGTAAATTTATTAAAATAAACAAAAACCAACAAGCTTACATTTTATTTTGGGGCATTCTAGATTAGAATTGCAATTATGTATGTTGAGTATCAAAGATTAAACAAAAATAAAAGATGAGTGAATGAGAAGAGAATAAAGGAAGTTAGCAAGAGAAAAAAAACGCATAAACTATGCATAAACGAGAAAGAGTATTTAATATGTGTTTTCTCTTTATTTTTTACCGTTACAATCTAATTAATTATAGAAATAAAATATAAAAAGTTACATTAATTAAACTTTATTAGTGACATTTTCCAAAAATAAAGATAATTATAGCAATAAATGATCAATTAAAGATAATTTAGAATTTAA